AACCCCCCCCCCCCCCCCCCTTTTTTTTTTTCCCCTCTTTTTTTTTTTTTTCTCCATTTTGGTTTAGAAATGACTTGTGCAGATTAACTATGATGACCATGTTGAAGGCTGTGGTGCATCAGCCTATGAAAAGGAAATAGGAAATGCATATTTTCCTTCCCCCTCCTTTCCCCGTTCCCAGTGAAATATATTTGTAAGTGTCTGATTATGTGCTATAAAATATTGATTTTTTTTTTTCCTCTTAGATTAAGGATGTGATGTATTTTTTGCATATTTTTTTTCTCTGCCTCTAGGTTCATAATGAATTAAAGGCTGTTGAGCACTTCGGAATTACAATGTTTGGGGGGTTGCAGTCTCTTCATTTCTAAGTTCAAACCTGTGGAGAGAGGAAGAAAATCTCCCGGGCTAGTGTGGTTGGTGGGAACTGACTGATGTGAAGTGGAGCCTGGTGAATAGGCGTACAGTTTGCCCCTTTGCTCTCCAAAGTGTTTAGGAAAAGAGGTCTTTGCCCTCCACATCTCACAGTACAGGATTGCCACTGGTACCATTGGATCGATGCTATGAGAGCACAGGTTCACTATCTCGTGTACTACCAGTTGCCTTTTATTATTAGGAATCCGCTAAGACTTGGAGTGATGGTTTAGCATGTCTTTCTAGCCCTTGCAGGTCCCACAGATAGTGAATATACCCACCTCCATTCTGCCCACTCGAGTTCATAAATTGCTTTTGATACGTAGGTCTTAAACTGTTACAACCTGAGCAGTTCTGGAAACAAAAATCTCTGGTTTACAGCTGGCTGTATATCACCAATTCTTTACTTTTTTTTACCCCACCTGCTTTTTCTCAAATTGTTCTGCTAAACCATACTATTCAAATGTGACTTGGGATCTGACATCTCTGTCTAACTCTACTGATTCCCATGCAGTTACACCAGCAGATAATTTGCTCTTTGATTTTTAAGGTCACTCTTTTGTGACCTGCCACAACCAGAAATGCTCTGAGTGAAGACAGATGTATAGTTAAAGACCAGTAGATGTGTCTAAGCAGGTGGCCTTGGATCGGTGATCAAAATGGGCAAGAATCAAAACACATTACCGCACGAGAACATCCTAGGTCTGGAACAGAGTCAGTGTTTTCACACTGGCTTCCCTGGGTCTGGGTATTGACTCTTGGTACTAGCTTTTAGGCCATTTTCTCTCTACAGTTCCCAGTTGAGATGGATAGATAGATATACTGTGGGGCTGAATAAAAATTCATACTATCTTGGGTACTCTTGTTGCCAACTCTGAACACTCTTTGTACAGCATAAGGCCTTGTCTACACTACAAATCCCTTTTGGCACAGTTCTGATAATGCTTCGATAGTGTTTGCACCCAGTGCTCCTCTGCTGTGGCACCACCCTCCTCCTTGCCAGCAGACTTGCGCTACTCCTGCAACCAGAGGAAGGCTTCTGGCATCCGGCTTTCTGGACACATGTCTTCCAGTGGCCACAGGCCTTTCAGCAGCTGATGCACTTTGCTCTGGCAGTGTGGCTGCTGAGGGCACCTGTGTAGAGCTGCCAGACGTGGATGGGTGTGCTAGTGCTCTGCCAGCTTGGCGATGGCAACTCCTTTCTGACAGCAGAGGCAGGTAATTGTAGACAGCACTCAGTCTCGTTGTCTTCCTCTACCCTGAGCTCCATGCAGGGTAGGATGAAGAGTCTTCTGTTGAGTGCCTCTCAGCCTCTTTTTCTACCCTCTCCATCTGTCATCCCTGCATAAACTCTTTCCCTGGATGCCTGAGTTGTACCCCTCACTAGGGAATGTTCTTCTGCCTGCTTTTCTTTCTCTTCCTTTCCATCTCCTTGACTTGCTCTAGTCCCATTTCTCCAACTTTGGAATTCTTGCAGCTTCCTGTTTTGTCTCAGAGGGTCGCTATGTCCGCAGGATCATTACTTACCTGGCCTGGCAACCAGATCGCTGTGATCAACACCATGTTGGGGCCCTTTCCTTGGGCTCTTGCCTGCCTTATGGCATGCTGTTCATGGGTATGGCATGTGGTGGGCCTAGACTTCATGGGTCTGTGGTGAGGTTATCATGCTAGGGGACAACGGTGATTGCTTGCTGTTATTTGAAAAGTGCAGCACCCGTTTCAGAGCTAGTGATTTAGGAGGATGCGTTTGCAACAAGTGGATATTTTAAATCCTGTAACATAAAAGGTGGGAGAGTTATCTTCGCCATGTCACCAGCTGTCACATATACAATAAAGCCGTTCTGGGATAATTGCTGGCAATGTTGGAAAAAGGATCAACAGGCTGCTTATTCTCACTGCCTGGATGCTAGGCAGACTTTAGCTGTAAGCCTGGCAGGTGGAAGGGTACATGGAGAGAAATGTTTAATTGTTCAGTGTCTCTCTCTGAAGGACGATCCAGCCACTTGGAGAGAGGAG